TGGTGGGTGGGACCATTAGCTATGAGGTGCAGGAGTGCCTACTCATTAAAATTCTGCTGCAACCTCTTATGTGGTTTAGGAACTCATTAAATTCCCACTGTGGCCCTTCAAGAAGCTTACACCCCGACACCTCCATCCTGCTTGTGCTAGGCATGTTCTCCACCTGCAGCTCTGTGCCTATGAGGTGTGCCCACATTCCCCAGCCCTGGCCTAGCAGGCCACCTTTGTTTGACCTAACGCAAAGCCTCAATTCAACCGATAATGACTTGCATCCACTTAACATATTTTTACACCCTTAAGTCCCAACCTTTCCATACCTACAATATTTTAACACAGCTTAAAAGTCTTACTGTATTGTACCCAAAGGAGTATATATCTTCTAGTTGAAACAACTTTTGGTATAAAAATGTTTTTAGGTGGGATGAAATCAAACTTAAAACTTGAGAAAAGTGATTGAAAAATCATTTTACTTTTAAGTCTATTGTTTTAAAAAAGGAAAGCAATGTAAGGGCAGAAGGATTATTGTAAGGTTACAGTCTTATGTGTCTATGAATGTGCCGAGTTTAAATTCTGTGTCTCTCTTCACTGCATTTTATAGTATTGGATAAATTAAAAATATTTATGTTTAATAAAAGGAAAAGAGAGAAGCCTGTAGTGCAGAGATCCTCAAACTTTTTAAACAGGGGGCCAGTTCACTGTCCCTCAGACATTCCACACATGCGCACTGCGGGCCCGGGACGAGTCGGCTGCTAAGCAGGACAGGCAGCGGCGGCAAAAACACCTGGCGGACCGGATAAATGTTTTCGGCGGCCGCATGTGGCCCGCAGGCCGTAGTTTGAGGACGCCTGCTGTAGTGTAATGAGGGAGTGGGCACAGTGCTTCATTGTACAATGTTCTTTATGCTTGAAGCTCCACGAAGTTGAGAATATTCACCGTGACCAGCATTTGTTGTCATTAAATATGAATGTGAGACCTGGTGGGGAGGGTGGCAGCAGACTTCTTGGGTGAATCTGTTAAGGGCCATTTGGGATGATCAGGGCTCCCAATACTGGGAAGTTAAACACTGTCAGACAGAGGATAATCAGATGAGAGCATTATGAAAGTGGATATTAGCAGCATTCCTTTCTTTCTACACATAATTTTTCATTCTTTGCTCACATAACTATTGACTTCTGTTCCAATTCCAGTTTGAACACATATGGAAACTAATTTATGTGTTTCACCAGTGCGGCTTGAATTAGGATATTTGTGCTACTGTTCACTTCAGAACAAAGGCATTTAAAGTGCCACACGGCATGGCGGGTCAAGACCTGACAAGTCCAGGTTGCTAGAGTGACCGTGGACTCACAGCTTCCCAGCTTCCACATCTTCCACTGCTCACTCTTCTCCCAACAGCTACCTGCTGATATTACGTGCTGAGAAAGAGAAACTGAGGTGCCTACGCAAGACTGTCTTAAAATGGCGGCCTGTAAAACAATTACAGAACCCAAAACAACGGGCAGAGGAGACATACTCACACACTGCTTGCTTAGTAGCATCTCACCTTTAGGGTGTTTTTCACCCATAGACTTGCCTGACCTCTCATGTAGAACTTGATGTGTGTACCTTAAATTTGACCTTTATGTAACCACTAGAGGCTTAGTGCACAAAATTCGTGCAAGTCCGGCCTGTACCCTCTCCAATCCAGGACCCCTTGGGGGACATCCCTCTCGCAATCCAGGACCGCTGGCTCCTAACCACTCACCTGCCTGCCTACCTGATCGCCCCTAACCACTCTGCTTGCCTGCCTAGTTGCCCCTAACCGCTTTCCCCTGCTGACCTGATCACACCTAACTGCTCTCCCTTGCCAGCCTGATTGCCCCTAACCACCTCTGCCTTGGCCCCCACCACCGTGGCTTTGTCCAGAAGGATGTCCGGTCTAATTAGCATATTACCCCTTTATTAGTATAGATTTGCCCTACTTTCCCCAGAACAGTCCTTCCTGATGTATGTCTGTAGTCCTAGCATAATTATTAATATACCTCTTTTTCCTCCCAGAAATGGCCTGATTTGGATAAATGATGTAGCACCCAGTTGGTAAGCCTTGGTGCTTGCTGCTCTTTTTCTAGGTTTTCCTTAGCTCTGCTGGTGAGGGAAAGCCTGCCCTGCTGGCTTCTAGGTCCCTTCAGAAGAACTTGTTCTGCTCCCAGCTATCCACTCCACGTCCTCATCAGAGATGCAGCCCGAGAGCTCAACCTGCTCATTTCAGAACTGGACGTTCTAGAGACTGGTAGTTCCACTATGTTTTAAGTGAATGATTTTTCATTCGTGGAGAATAGATGGTTTACCTGGGGCCCAGTGCCTGCCTTTCCTAGGAGTCTTCCTCATCGCCCCAGGCCCTGTTACCTATGCTGTCTTATTCTGAACAACATGCTTGATTATCCCACTCACAAGCTCTCACAACAAGTTTACCTAAAAGAAAGTGGTTCATTCTTTAGAGTAAGGGATTCAAGTTATTTTCCAAAATGCTAGAAACCATTCACCCTTCATGGTGCGGGCCTGACATCTCCTAGATGTTGGTCGATGTTTGCTCACACAGCGAATGTTGATTAGGGTTACCGTGTGCTAGGCATCATGCAGGTGCTAAGGATGCTACAGTGAGTGAAAGAAAGTTTTAAGGGAGGGTTAGCTGTGGTCAGCCAGGAGGAAAGGGTGGAGCAAATGGGGCTGTGTGCTATTTATAGGAAGTTGGAAGGTGGAGTAATGGGCTATGGGAGCATATGGTGTCATTTTATGTCTATCTCCGTGTCTGTTACAGGCTCCTAGAAAAGGAGCTGTTTTTCTTCTTTAATATTCCCCAAAGCAGTTAATACTAGAAAGAAGTGTGTAACTTGGGGGAGTGGGGTGGAGGGAGAGGCCCTTTAAAATGGAAAAATAGAATAATTAAAGTGACCTTTATCATATCTGGCAGTTAATGGTTAGAAAACCATCTGCCTTTGTAATTACAAGCAAAAGTAGCAGTCTAAAAGAACTTTTATTTGCCACCTTTAGACATGCTCCAGTGACTGTGTGGTTGAGAATTTTGAAAATAATGAATTACCTGTAGAGAGAGGTAATTAGAATTCAGTTAGCACAACCTCTCTGTCTCCTGGTGAGACAGGAAGTGTTCCTCAGAGAAATGTTATTATCAACATCCCTGTTTATGTATATTCCCGGTGCTGCTAGCTGACTTCATTAAGTAGATGTGAAAGAAGTTTCTGCACCCTGTCAGGTATTCCCAAGAATACAGAGTCAAGAATTGTTGTTTTGACTATTGTTTAGATTCTAAAAGGGAATGAGTATGTGCCATGTAGAATCATCAAAAGGTACACACATTTAATTAGTCATTCCATTAGAAAAACCTGTCCAGGGCACAGGCATGTGCTTTATTTCTGTGTAGTGAAGGCTGCCCTTCACACATTTAATTAGTCATTCCATTAGAGAAACCTGTGCAGGGCACAGGCATGTGCTTTATTTCTGTGTAGTGAAGGCTGCCCTTCGGCTCATGTAGGAAACCATGCCAGCTGCGCAGTGCGACTCCCAGGAACTCTGCTGACTGGCTCCAACCCTCCTCCAGCCTCCTCATTCGCTCATTTTAGAACTGCAAAATCATGAGTCCTATCCTATGTTGGTTAAAGAAATCGTGTCAAGAGTTCCTAACAAGAAAACCTACAGTTAGGTAGAGTCACAGAAAACAGACTGTCCGAGCAGGAAGGGACCTGAGGGCTCATCTGCTCCAGCCCTTCCTTTTGCAGGAGAGCAAATGGAGGCCTACGTTTAAGACACACATCTGACTCATAGCAGAACCTACTGTTGTCCTTCAGTTACCCATAGGACTGTATGAGTTAATACCCCTACAGTCGTTAGAACTGTGCCTAGGACATAGCAAGTGCTCAGTAAACTCGAGTTATCACTTGTTGTTACTTCTAATGGCAGAATTCAAATGAGAATCCAAACGCCCTGACGCAGCCCAGTGTTCTGTCATATTTTGCATGTCCCACGTTGTATACAGAGAAATGTGTTTGAAGAAGTTGAGTTAAAATCAAGAGTGATGGCCTCAATGCCATTGCTGAGCGCGTGCTCCATGCTGAGCTCTGGGCTAAGCACTGCATATGCGTTGTCATTGAATCCTCACAGTGTCCTGTGAGATTCACACTCTTTCTCGTCTTCATTTAACTCCCATAAAGGCCGATAGATAGGTAACTTGTCCTTAGTCACACCATTATTAACGGGCTGGGCTAGGCTTTAAAGCCTACTTCCTCTGACTTCAAAATCTATGTACATAACTGTGATTTTATTTCAGGAGTTGGCAAATTATGGCCCTTGGACCAAATCCAGTCCTTCCTGGTTTTGTACAATTCTGGATTGAGAATGTTTTTAACAATTTTAAATGGCTGATCAAAAATAAAGAAGAAGAATATTTCACGATGTGTGAAAATTATGTGAAATTCACATTTCAGCGGTCATAAATGAACTGTATGGGAACATAGCAGTGCTCTTTCGTTTGCATGTTGTCTGTGGCTGGCTCTGAGATGCAGCAGCAGCAGCGTTGAATAGTTGTGATAGGGATCCTGTGGCCTGAACAGCCTACTACCCGGCCTTCATTCCATCCTCCTTCTCAGTGATTATGCTTTATGAGATTCTAATTATTTAGAGCACTATAGTGGGATTTTACAGGGCCTAACTCCTCCTGTTCCCTGCCTTCTTTGTTTGTTCTATATTAATTGACATATCAATCAAATGATGAATAGTGTGTATAAAAGAAGCTCACCCTTAAATACCTGTGTCTTGTGTTTTGAACAGACTGAGGGATGATTTGTTGCTGGCTAACCTCGAGACTTGATGATGACCTTTTTTGTACTCTGGACTGTAGCTACTTGTCTGTGGTGTACATGCCCCCCATATCCATTTGCTGAGCTGATTATTTTTAAACCTCCAAGTATCTTAGACGCAGAACTCACTCTATTGTCTTTCCTTTGTAGTGGCTTGCTGTCTTCTGATTACGTGGAGATTCACTATGAGAATGGGAAACCACAGTACTCTAAGGTACGGTTAACAGCATATGAAGTCCTGCAGTATAAATAGACTTAGTCAGAGGCCTGGTCAAGGCACACACTACATGGTTTTGATGTCTATCTTCAGTAAAAGTATTTGTCGTCTTATACAATGACACAACAAATTATGTTTTTAATTTTAAAGTACATTTAGAAGAAATTTATTAAAAACTTCCAGATGTTGAAGATAACAATAGAGATTCAGTATATTTAGGGCAGTAAAGAAACGTTTGTTTTGGTTACACATACAGTATATTATGTAAGTGAATGGTAAAAAGAGCTATACAGTTCCATATCAGCATTTTAAATTAGTAGATAACCAGGCTACGGTCATAGAAACTGAATGGCAAGACTGGGTGGGTCATTAGAATGAGTATTTAATCCAAGTGATTCTAGTGCCCCAGAAAGGCAGAGGACAGGTAGGGGAAGGAAGATTTAGGGAGCACCCTCCCTCCTCATCTCCACAACAATTCTTTGAGGTGGATATTATTATTCCTGTTGTGCAAAGGAAGAAATGAAGGCAGAGAGAAGGCAAATAAACCTGCCAGCAAGCAATGTAATATGAAGGTAATTGGGTACTTGATTTCCTTCAGTGGGAGGTCAACTTTTGTTCTCTTCAATAAGGAGCAAGGGGGTTTAGATGAAAACCAGAGGTGGATTCTTTGTGTGGAAGGAGCAGTGATTTCTGCCAGTGGAATGGCTCCATCCAGACTTGGATCTGCAGGAAGTCCACAGGGTGCCGTTGAGCCGAAGCAGTGTCCACGGATACCACAGGCGTGGGAGAGGACAGAGGGGAACAAGCCAAATGGGGACAGTCATTGGATTCTTTTTTTCTGAATTGCTAGAGTATCGGTAGAAAAGTGGATCTTTAATGTGTGGGTTTGCTGGGTTGTGCAGCACAGAGAACTGGGTTTGTCAGTCTGATAGCCTCCCGACAAATAGTTACTTGTTAATACTGCCCAGGGGGACCTGGCATTGCTCAGGATTTATAACTGTCCCATCATTAGTGATTTGATGTGTGTTCTAAACCTGTGAAATTTTCCACCACAGATTAAGAACGTCCATATATTATTTTTACTAGTCTGTCAGTTCTTGCCTGAGGCTGCATGTGGGGGGTGGGGAGGGTGGTGATGGTGGTGTTTGAGTCTCCCTAAAAGTTAATGCTGTGGAAAGTGAGCAGAAATGCTAAATCAAGCAAGGTAACGGTGCTTCCTGGCACTTGTACAAGCCACAGCTCTGTCCTCCTGCCAGGGCCGGGAGCACTGCGGATGCTGAGTCATGAGTGTGGTGTAGAGATTGCAGAGAACTTTATAGACTCAGCAAACAAGCCACCTTTGCAGGCTGCAGTAACCTGACCCAAACTAATCACTAAGAAGTTTATATATATATGTTAGAAGTAGAATAGCTAACGGCCTCCAGAGGTCATTGGAGGTCCCCAGAGGAGGTCTTATGATTAGTAAGACACGCCAAATCTTGTGTCAGTTGAAACTAAAACTTAAAACAAAGGGTAGTTCAACGCTGGCCAAATAAGTGTTCATTGCAGTTTGTGTTTGTGGTCATTGCTTTTCTCTTATTTATGACCCATTTTCTCCAAACGGCTCATATACCCAAACTCGTTTCATATATAATGAATTAATGGTAACCGTCTGGTTTTTATGTCTATATCTGTGTGTATATATATATATATATATATATATATATATATATATACTAGAGGCCCGGTGCACAAAAATTTGTGCACTCGGGGGGGAGGGGGGGTCCCTCAGCCCGGCCCTCTCGCAGTCTGGGACCCCTTGGGAGATAACGACCTACTGGCTTAGGCCTGTTCCCGGGTGGCAGAGGGCAGGCCCAATCCCTAGGTGCAGCCTCTGGTCGGGCTCAGAGAAGGGCCGATTGGGGAGTTGGGGCGCCGCCCCCTGTCATGCACAGAGCAGGGAGATTGGGAGGTTGTGATGCCACCCTCAGTCACGATCAGGGTAGGGCTCAATGGCACCCTGTGGACTTCCTGCAGATCCACCTTCCCCTGTCACACTCAAGGCAGGGTCGATGGGGAGGTTGCGGCGCCATCCTCGGTCACGCACAGAGCAGGGCCAATCAGGGGGGTTGGGGCTCTGTACCCTGTCATGCACAGAGCAGGGCCCATCAGGGGGTTGGGGCGCTGCCCCCGTCACACACAGAGCAGGGCCTGTGGGGGGGGGGGGTTGGGGAGCTCCCCCCTATCAGGCACAGAGCAGGGCTGATCAGGGGGTTGGGGCGCCTTCCCCTGTCACGAACAGAGCAGGGTGGATAGGGAGGTTGTGGCCCCACCCCCTGTCACACACAGAGCCGCAGGGCGATCAGGGGGTTTGGGCGCTGCCCCCTGTCACACTTATCCTGATGCCGGGAGGCCTCATGGCTCCGCTGATCCCAGTGCTGGGAGGCATATTACCCTTTTACTATATAGGGTAGAGGCCTGGTGCAAGGGTGGGGCTGGTTGGTTTGCCCTGAAGGGTGTCCTGGATCAGGGTGGGGGTCCCCACTGGGGTGCCTGGCCAGCCTGGGTGAAGGGATGGTGGCTGTTTGCAGCTGGTCACACACCCTTCAGGGTGGGGGTCCCCACTGGGGTGCCTGGCCAGTCTGGGTGAGGGGCTGAGGGCTGTTTTCAGGCTGGGGGTGACTGAAGCTCCCAACCGCTCCTTTTTTTCTTTTTTATTCTGGGCCAGCTTTACCTTGAGGCTTGGCTCCAGCTCTTAGGCCTCGGCTGAAAGTAGGTTTCTGGCCTTTGCTTACAATGTTGCGAATCTGCTGGCTGAAGTCCAGCGGTATTTGTTACAGAGTTTCTTAAACTGCCAGCTCAGAGGCCTGCAGCCTCAGGCGGGGAACGTTGGTTTCCTCCGTCACTGAGGCAAGCAAGCCTCATGTTAGTTTCAAGCTGCCTGGCTGCCGGCCGCCATCTTGGCTGACAGTTAATTTGCATATCTCGATGATTAGCCAATGAAAAGGGTAGCGGTCATACGCCAATTACCATGTTTCTCTTTTATTAGTGTAGATTAGTGTAGATATCCCTCCCTCCCAAACTTAAATGATATGCCCCTTAAATATCTGGTAGCAGGATTTTTTAACCTAACAATATTATAAGCATTTTAGCATATGTTAAATAATCTCCTAAACTTTTGTTTTAAAATATACATATTCTTTCCTATTTATTTGCTATAATTTGTTTAAAAATCCCAAATTAGTAGATATTTAGATTGTTTCTAATCTTTCACTATACAACCAACTCTAAAGAAAGGCTTTTCAGACATATTTGAACACATCTTTGATCATTGCTAAGGATTAATTCTGATACTGGGATTTTTCTGGGTCAGGACAGGCACCTTGTTTTAAAGCTTTTGTTACATCTTGAGTTTTTCTTTCTGAAAGTTTATATATAAATTCACATTCACTCCACTATTACATTTTTTTTAAAAAAAGCTTCACATTGCATTCCATGTTGTTTAAGAAAATCTTAAACAGAGTACCAGAAATTAACATATAAGATTGTTTGGGTTAAATAAACCTGTTTTGTGCAAACCTTCTTCCAAAGATCTCAAACTATTTAGATCAGTGGTTCTCAACCTTCTGGCCCTTTAAATACACTTCCTCATGTTGTGACCCAACCAAACAATTATTTTCGTTGCTACTTCATCACTGTAATGTCGCTACTGTTATGAATCGTAATGTAAATATCTGATATGCAGGATGGTCTTAGGCGACCCCTGTGAAAGGGTCGTTTGACCGCCAAAGGGTCGCGACCCACAGGTTGAGAACCGCTGATTTAGACAAAAGTATACATACATAATACACACACACACATAATTAGAGAGAAACAGATTCACTAAATAGCCTGTTGGCTTTGAAGTTAAATATAAATGTGGACATTTAATATATTCTGGGAATTAATTTGAAACAAAGTGATGAGTCCATACTTTGTGAAGCTTGTCTAGGTTTTCCTACTTCATCATCGCCTGGCTCCTACCTAGTTCCCACTTCCAGCTCAGAAGGGTCTCATGTCTTAGGCTTTTACTTTTGCTGGATGAAAAGACTTCTTTTCTTATGAAGCAAATATAGGAACTGGAGAGGTCAACCACCTAAGTAGGTAGCATAGCCTAGGTGCCAGGTAGTCAGTAAGTATAGAGGAGAGACTTTTGTTCTGCATCTGACACAAAATTAGCTTTTGTTGGTGTTTCTAGCACAGTGCTTTGCACACAGTATACAATAAAGCAGTGTTGTTGACTTGTTGATCAACTTTGTTGATGAACCTATTAAAAATAAACTAATTGTTAGTATTTTAGTTCTTATAAAAGAATTAGACATCCATTTGACAGCATAAAAGAATATTTTAAATTTAGCATATTTCTATTAAACCCCTTTAAGGTGAACCATTAACTGTATGTGCTTGCTAACACTTTGGTTTCTCTTCTGCTGATAAAAAGAGCTACCACCTGGCCAGCAGTATAAGATTGGATAGAGAGATGCAGATGGGTAGGGAAATTGTCCTTTCCTTGCTCTATTTTCTCACCCTGACTTCTCCCTGTTCCCTTGCTCACTCCTGCCCAGGGTCATGAGTGACCTAACTGGTGGGAAGGGGTTGGGCATGACTGTGTAATCCCTTCCTCTCTTTCTTTTGTGATATCACCTCCCTACAGGAAGAGCACCTTCTCTCTACTTTTCCATGCTCCTAGTTGTATAGTGGCAGCCTGGGAAGTGGGGAGGTGAGAAGGGTTGTTTGCCCCATGTTGTCTGTGCTTAGGTGGGTAAGTCTGGATAACTCAGGGTATAGCATTAGCAGGCCTATTGGATTCTCGGTGAACCCTCTCCTCCAGTTTAGTGCTATCAAAAATGAAGGCGATCTATTTTTTATTTGTTTCAGTCCTGTGTCACTCTTACTTGGTTCTAAACTTACTTGGGTGCCACTTCACATCCTCTAGGTTGGCTATAATAAAAAAGATGGACAACAACAAATGTTGGCAA